CTGTAAATTGGTCATGGTTGACTTTTTCCCCAATACAGCTGATTTTTAGGTCAACTGTCCAATTAACTGATCAAAAAATGTGATCCAAGGCTTGAAACTTGACACGAGTAATCTTAGGGGTCCATATTGATATTTTTAAGTCATATGAAACATTGATAGTCCAAAAATCTTTGTGCAACTCCAAACCCTAACTTTGGGTTATCAGTGCATGATGAGATGTCTTGAGTTGGTCAAACCCTAATCCAGTCTTGAGTCAAAGAGATCTTGTGAGAAAATCTTGATAAATGAGAGGGAAAATTTTGGGGTAAAATAGCAGCCAAATCAACAAGGTTTTCTATACTGAGAAAAATAATTATTTCGTATTTCATAACAGCTAATAGTGCATTAAAAGCAACCCAAATCTCCATCCTTTTCAAAGGTTATAGCCTTCCTTATTAAAAACTTTAGAGCGAACCCACATGTATGTTTTTTGGACTTCTAGTTTTCTTTCACCTCATTTATGCTCAAATAAAGAGCTTTTGTGATCAACTCAAATCGAACAACTTCAGGGACACTGACAAAAGGTACGCAATCTGTAATCTTGACGTTCATGAATTAGGCTTACTCTTCCAAGGTAGGAGCAAGTTGATAATCTTAAAACGTGAAGCACTGTAACTGGCTATTATAGAACTGTAAGAGAGTTTTAATGGATGTCGTATCAATCTTCACATTCAACAGCTATATAAGATCACCATATGTTTCCTTGAATACCTCTTGGTTCTTGTTAACTACACGCATACTAAAACTCCTTAACGGCACCAAATCAACCTTTGGAAACTTCTAACTGGAGGTACCCTTTGTATTCCTTTTGTTTGAACCTTCTTAGTTTGCCATACTTAATCAAAGATGATAACTCTAGGGTTCCTGGAAATGCATGCATATGCAGGTTAGGTTTTTCATATATACATTTTTTAATGTTATGATGTAAAAAATGTAATGGGATCAAAGTTTCCACATAAACTGGACATATGTTGTATTGTCTCTGAATATCACAGGAACAAAGGTTCAGTATCAATTCAGAACTCAAAGTAACCAAGTATCATGACGTTTAGCATATGTACCTGTAAGAGTAATTCACACCCCATCTCACATGTAAATTCTGGCTAGGGTATGGTCAAAAGTTCCACAAAGTTATGAGTCCACGTGAAAACATATCATCATAACGGAGGTATGTATGACGACAATGCCCCCAAATGAACCTTGTCTGCGCGTAGTACTTCATGATCGCACTACTAAGGCCTACACCCTACAGGCGTCATGAACATCTACTCTAGTCCTATGAGTTCCTAAGTATTTACAACTTTGGCCTGTGTATTGGGTCTTTTACCTCATAGTAGTATCTCTCCCGCCAATAAAAACACAAAATCCAATATTCAGCACAACAGCAGTATCCAGCATATGGAAAGCGATAAAAATGCAATACGTACAATGAACTAGCAAGTAAGCATATAGATAAACACCCAAAGAAAAATAATAAACAAATCTAGGATTGGCCCACTTAGGAAAGTATCCCCCAGTGGAGTCGCCAATTTTTCTATAGCAGTAAAAAGTTGAGACTAAGCCATTGATTGACTTAACTCACAAAGTGAAAGTCACCACCACACTTTATTGTTTCCAAAGGGAAATGGGAAGAGAGAGAAGAAAACCCAAAAATAAAATAGAGATCAAGATATAGGGGCCAGTTATGCAAATGGAAGGTATAAGCACCCTAAACATATGTTGTACTCAATGGAATTCACTATGTTTGTTCTAATCAAAGGGTGTATTATCTAAATCTTAAACTTGCTAAAGGGAATGCATGAATGAATTATTAAAGGAATAAAAAAATAAAGTTTTTATTATTGCGTTCGCCCGAATTTTGCAACTCAATGCCTATGTATCCTCATAGTGCAATGAAGAAATCAGAACACTGTAGTTCTTCTTAAAAAATTTGGTTTGTTATGTATTTTTAACGAACGATGTTAAGTTTCACATTCCATTGCAGGTCGACCCTTTGGAGACTCACGCATTTCTCGTAGAAAGGAATTAACATGTTCTTTATGAAAATATTCTCAAAGAAAAGTCCGAAGGAAGGAAGGTTTGAATTGGTTGAGTATTTTTGTTGGGGTGATAGCAAATGGATCTCAATGCAGGGGCACCTACTATTTCTCCGCTTATTTGCAAAAGGGTTTGTGATTTGAACCACATTAAAGACTGATTGAAAGTAAGCACAAGGTTAGGAATGCACCTCCTCATACTCCTCTAAATACTTAAGGCTCGTGACATAGGATTAAAATGTATTTTTGGTCCCTATAAATATCTCAAATTTTATTTTTAGTCCCTATTAAAAAAATAATAAATTTTGGTCCCTAAAAAAATTATGTTCATACAATTTTAGTCTCTGTTACTTTCTAAAATTTTAAAAACTATTTAATTACTCTTAAACTTTTAAATTTTTGTATTTTTTTTTTCATTTATGTTTAGAATACTATAAAATGTTTCTTTATCAAATTTTAAAATTTTTTAAAATGAGAAGAATTAAATATGAATTTTTTTTATTTTTCAAAATATATTGATAAAATTAATGAAAATCTCGACTTAGAAATCAAATTTTGAGTTTCTTTTTTTCCAATGAACTTTTTTTAACGTTCTAAATATGTCTGCAAAATAATCATCCAAAAATATACATCGGTTTAATAACATGGACAAAAACTACGTGCATCATATTTTTCTAGGGGCCAAAAACAAAATTTATTAATTTATAGGGACCAAAAACATATTTAACCCTTATTATTATATTAAAATAAAAATTTTGAATTTACCTATCTAACCTATTAAAAATATAAAAGGCAATACAAATATTAAAAAATTATTAAATATTAATTATTAAGAAGTTATCAACAAATTGTTTTACTATTTAAAAAATATAATTATTTTTGTGATTGGATTCCTTCTCAGTCAAACTTTAAAACCTTGAATCCATCAATCCACTGATTTAATGATCGGTCCAATTTTCATTACTTTAGTATTGAGTGAATATGACTTGAGATAATCCTTCTTCCGTTAGGGAAAAAATATTTATAAAGACTCCTGAAGACAAAGGTTTATGGCCCCTCGAACGTGGTCTTAACCGTTCTCTATTATTAGAGGTTTAGAGGTTATTGACCGCCTATTTTCACAAAGTCATCGAAAACCCTTTCTAGATTGGCTCTTACGTTGGAGGCAACTCTTTGGGAGACTCTCTCAAATCCCCTCTCAAGCGGCCCAACTGTTGGACAAATGCGCCATAATTTGAGTCTACCAAAAATAACACTACACTTTATATGGTAGAGAATTAAAAAAACATAAAATCTTAAATTAATATAATATTTTTAAAATTAAAATCTATTAATTAAATCACAAAAATTAAGAGTATTGATAGTGCTCGATTGATTAATAATTACTCCCTCCGTTTTATATTATTTGTCGCAATTGAATATTTCACACAGATTAAAAAACAATAATAAATGAAAGAGAGAATAATAATTTTGCCAAATTATCCTGATTAATTATTGGTGTATTCAAATTAACATTAATGTTAAATGAAAAAATAATAAATTAAAAGTATTTATTAGATGGTACAATTGGAAGATTAAATATAAAAATACATTGGTAATCTACCAAAAATAACACTACACTTTATATGGTAGAGAATTAAAAAAACATAAAATCTTAAATTAATATAATATTTTTAAAATTAAAATCTATTAATTAAATCACAAAAATTAAGAGTATTGATAATAGTGCTCGATTGATTAATAATTACTCCCTCCGTTTTATATTATTTGTCGCAATTGAATATTTCACACAGATTAAAAAACAGTAATAAATGAAAGAGAGAGAATAATAATTTTACCAAATTATCCTGATTAATTATTGGTGTATTCAAATTAGCATTAATGTTAAATGAAAAAATAATAAATTAAAAGTATTTATTAGAGGGTACAATTGAAAGATTAAATATAAAAATACATTGGTAATCTAAAGTGATAAATATTTTGAGACAATTTTTTTTTTAAATGTGACATTTAATTTGAGACGGTGGAAGTAATGGTAATATTAAGATGTTTTTAACAGTAAACTTTTTGAGTTTACTTTCTATAACATTTGTTTATTACTTGCATATTAATTATGAAAACAAGTTAAAATACTTACAAAGAAATAAATAGTGCAATTACAAATTTGAATGAGATCTATAAAAAAAATCTCAAATGAATCATATACTTAGGTAAATACTAGAAAAAATAATACATGCATGCATCATATGGGGATAGAAATATTAAAAAGTGTCTTGTAAATACAACTCAAATAATAGTTGTCCAGTGTGGATTTTGTGACTCCTTCATCAACAACAAAACTATGAAGTACCACTATGGGCTTATGGTATCGTTGTCCTACCAGAGTACCTCCGTGCAGGGCCGGCCCAATCGATCCGGGGGCCTGTTTAAATTTTAAAAATAGGTCTAAAAATTTATGCATTTATACTGAATTAAAAAAAAAACAGTATAAAATTATAGATTTAAAAAAAAATTATGATTTTATATATATGTTATTAAAATATAAGTGTAAAATAGATTTTGATAATAAATTATAATTTTACATCTATTTTAAAAAAAATAGACAGAAAATATATTAGTTTGGTAATTAAAAAAAATTATTGAGCCCTTCAAGATTTGAGGCCCAGTGCGGTAGCACATGCTGCGCCTGCATTGGGCCGGCCATGCCTCCATGGACTATCATATACTGTACTGAAGTTTCTCAAGTTTAACAATGTCTGTCGAGTTTGCAAATTTTAACTGATCAAGTTCAAACAAAAAGAAATATTTGCAGGCCCTTCAGAAGTCACGTGAAATCAGCGTCTCATCTCTGAAACGATTAAAGTAATGGCAACTTTCGCTGCAATAGAAGTTTCCAATGCCAATACAGGTCAACTTCAATTTAAATCATCTTTTCAAGAGCTTTAGTACATCTCCAACCAAATGCAGAGATCCAGTGACAAGAACCTGCAACCATTAGTAAGAAAAGGCTGTCAGCATACACTCTGAAAAATATGACTCAGGAGAAGAAAAGCAAATGAATGGTAAAGAGAAAATATTATTCTTTTCTATCTAGAAAAGACAGTTTTGACCACTAGTACCAAAATAATACACTCACCAGGTTTCAACACAATTAGTTACGAATGGCAAAAACGAGAAGAGAAAAGAGAAAGAACTGACAAATCCAAACCAAAAAGAATTAAACAGACTTCAGTGAACATGATGGTAGAACTACATATTAGATGTTACATACCCCAACTATACACCCTTGCAAAAGGGTAGAAAGAAAAGGTGAAGAATATAACTGTTGCTTGAATAATGGTTTTTACTAGGATGCACTCGGTTGGCACCGTGTAAGTATGCATCCATCAACCAAATCAACTTTAGAATAAAGTCTCGGTCCACATTACTAACCTGAAGTCTTGTTGATGGGTGTTCTCTGACGCAGTCCCTCAACCATTTTATTGTCAATGGCAATGAAGGAATTACTGCACTGCTTGGAAAATAGTTATGGGAAGGACATCCCTTTGAAGCATTGTCATAAAGAAATTCATTAGGTGGTAACATCAGCTTGTTATCTATCTTGAAATCCTTTTCAAGCAAAGTGGACGTTTCTGCAAATAAACAACATAACGTCCAGGTCAGAGGAGAAACCAAGCTCTGTGACTACTACTCGGTCCTTTATAGTAGCATCTCCGGATGAAATTAAGGACTTCTGCTATGGGACTTCAAAATAGTTTAATCAGACATTCATCTTTACCCAAAGCCTAATGATTAATGACAGCAGTGGTGGTAATTGACTTTCAAAACTTCAATGGAGTTCCAGAAAGATCCAAAACAATATCACATCTTTTGGTTAAATTTACAAGAGCATATATTTACATTTTTTCTACATGAAAGGCAATATGACCAAGACAATCTTAATGTGAGGACTCTAGAGTGGCAAAGATGTTAAGATAGAGTGTACCCTTCCCATGCACAATCTTCTCCCATATTCTTTGTAGATTAAATTGCCATGATAGTTCTATCCCACTGAGATCAGAAGGAATAACTGATGCGCCAGAAGTAACCTTAGTATACTTTGACATACTCGGAACAAAAAGCGCTCTTGAGAAATGAATACCTAAGCAATGTTTCAATACATTAGTACAAAGCTACAAATAGACATGAATAATTATGAGTTATCAAAGTAAGAAAGTATATAAAACGGCTTGGACCTCATTCCTTGTTTTATTGTTTCTGTCTGATTCAAACCAGAACAACACATGTCTGATTCAAACCAGAACCAACACAAAAAAAATAATACAGAAAACACTTACCAATAGTAAGGAAAATATGTATTATTTCGGAAATGGGTTAATTGCACTAGAAAGTATGATATCCATACTGTCACAGAGCTAAGCACCTGTAGCTATGGGACTCTATCCATAACAACATAGCGGTTTTCAAAAGATATCTCACTACCAAGCATTCAGCCTATTTGATAACTGCAACCGCCCAATTCAAAAACCATCTTCCTTTTTCTTTCTCTCACTGTCAGTATCAGCACACTACTCCCAACTAATCCCTCTATTTTACCTAGTTTAATCTTCCAGATCTTAGGCCCATGTGACAAATGATGAATCATAAGCCCAAAGAGACTCAATTTGAGTCCTGACATTTTCCAGCAGATTAACTAATGATGATAGACCATTTAATGTAGAACATAATGCAAATGCATTTTTCCACCCTATGTGAAGAGAGTCAATTCAAGTCACTAATATTTTCTATCACATCTATTCATTTATTCTTATATTCAATCCCTAAAATATTACTATGTAAACAAACCAAGGAAAAGCCAAGTCTTAATGAAAATATCTTTTCTGATGGAACATCAAAATAAAAAGTACATGTGATTTCAAGTAGGAATACCTGACGAAGCACATCCATTGACTAGCCGTGGAAGCAAAATGTTAGGATTTCTCACATCTAAGCAATTGAATAGAAGAATCTACAATTAATCAATGCTGAATGTCAGGATGCAATTGATACTTAATCAGATGATCAAATATAAATCATATGGTATTCTGAATCAAGAAATTTCAATAATGGCTAAAAAATAGTTAAGAGTTGGGGATTTGCATTGATATTGTTGGTTGTGAGGGACGACCTTAGTATTTACTTAAAAATGGGGAAATATTGAACAAATGATATACTATGTTGTAGCAACAGCAATAGTTAAGCTTAAAGAAAAGATACCACAATAAATTGTTTTGGTAACACCTACCTGCCTAGAAGAATTCTCAAACTGCCCCAAGGCCTTGCTTTCAAGTAGAAAGTGACCATTTTCTGATGATTCCTCTGTATTCTTTACACTGATAGACAAATGTGATGGATTTTTATATCCCTTTACGGCATTGGAGAACCACTTTGCACAAGCATCCATGCTCTCTGGACTATGAGCTCCATCCAAATAAAATATCAACTGTCCACAATTTTCAGACGTAATTTCTGAGCAGTCAGAATATAGAGAAGAGTCACAAACTATTTGAGCCCTCCCAGAAAAATGGGCACTTGAAAGGCCTTTAATAAAGTCATCTGGCAAATTAGAATCCTGAAAATCCTAATATACAGGAAAAAAAACTAACATCAGAGTGGTTGAGATAATGAAAAAAGAGGAAGACCAACACAACTTCGATATTAGAGCATCAAACAATGAAAGGAGGCTCGGTGGGATATTCTTTAGGTGAAGAGGATATTATTATTTGCAAACACAATTGAAGTTAAAAAATAAAACTCGCAATCCATCCAAAAGTATTAAAATCTGATAAAAATTCCCATGTCTGGAAAATAAACTAAGCATACCAACAAGGGGTCCACTAAAAAATTTCTCATACATCACAACAAAAGGTGAAACATTTCTAACTTAAAAGTGAAAAACAAAGTGTATGAATTGTAATTTTAGCAAAGCTGAAGCATTTCTAATTTAGAGGTGAAAGTTTGAGATTATAACATACCACAAGCTACACCATTTGAATATCTTGGATCAGTAGTACAAAAAGACGGAGAAATAGGATAGATAAAAAAAATCAAATTTAAGTTGGGTGATTGAAACAGAGGAGGACCTTTGACGTTATATGTAATACAAAAGTACCGCTCAATCTGAAAGGAAAATTTTATCTTACAACTATAAGACCAGAGATGTTATATGGGACAAAATGTTGGGCAGTAAGGAATCAACATGAAAATAAAATAAGTGTAGTAAAGATGAAGATGTTTCGTTGGATGTGTGGTAAGACTAGTCAAGTTAGGATTAAAAATGACAATATTAGAGAGAGTTGGGGTAAGGTAACACCTATTATTGAAAAGATGGTGGAAACTCGGCTTAGGTGTTTTGGGCATGTAGAGAGAAGACCTATAAATTGTGTAGTAAGGAGAGTAAATCAAATGAAGGATAGTCAAATCACTAGAGGTAGAGAAAGAACTAAAGAAAACTATTCTACAGAATAATGAGTTGGATAAAGATATGATATATGATAGAACATTATGGTGTCGTTTGATCCATATAGTCGACCCCCCTTAGTGGGATAAGGCTTGGTGGTTGTTACATAACACATAATTGTTGATATTATAATTATTTCCAATGTATTATTATGACCTTCCACTACAAAGCTTTGCATAATATTCACATAGATGCATGCATGAGCCAAGAGCAGAATTTTAACTGACATTTTGACAAACTTTTTCCCAATTTCCTGTTCTCTGAAGCCAGCATCTAGAAAGTGAGACTGCAAGAGCAGCATTATAGAATTGGTGATCACCAGATAACCCAAGCTTTAATCCCTTCATTTGTTTACAATCTAAAGGCTCAGTAACTTCAAGCGGAACCTGCAGCCATTGAAAATAAGCAAACAATTATTGGCATTAGCAATAAAGAGGATTATTTGCTCATATAAGAGGTTGCATGAGCATGCTTTTCCGATTAATGACCTATATTTTCTGCAAAACTAGAGTTCTCAAATACAGGAAGTAATTGGTTACATTACATAGATAATCGAAAGGCTGGGATAAATAGCATTTCAGACAGTCAGACCATACCTAATTACGATATTATGAAATTTCATAAAAAGTTGATTTTTTGTTTTTTTATTTTATTTTATTTTAAACTATGGAATCAATCTGAAAATTTATTAGATTGCTAAAACCTTGTCTTTCAAAACAGCTAGGTATGATTCGAACAATTGGCCCCTCTATCTTTCCATTTGAATGAAAACGTTATTTTATCCTCTATTTTTGTTTAGTATACGTGAATAAAGTATCCCCCATATAGACAATAAGAGACAAAGCTGAAACTAGATTAGATGCAGATCATTAACTTATCTAAAAAAAACAACTAGAAATTTGTTCTGTTGGTTTCCAACCAATCTAATAATGTTCCGATAAAACATCATTTTGATAAGAACTTTACAACAGTTTCCGTGTAATAAAAGAAAATTGCATTTTTTTTTTAATTAGAAAATTGCAACAATAAGAGACAATCTCAAAATGCTATTACTTTTCTGCAGGCAATTTATAATATCTAGGATTGAGTACAAAGATTACCATGAGTTCTTTGGCCCTCTCAAGGATAACATCCATTGCTTCAGGAGGTTGGGGTACTGTGAAGGCGGGAACTTTAGGCTTCAGGAACATGGAAGACATCAAATCTTCAGAAGATAGGAAAGAAAATGGAGGCGGGGAGAAGGGGCTTTCAATTAGATAAATTGGAAACATAAGTACTACACCAAGAAAACTATTTTTGGATAGAAATCAATGTGCAAGAGAAAGTTTGGTTGCTTTAGCAGAATTTTCTTACCTTAAAAATTCCTGCCTTGTGTGAAGCTATCTGTCCGAGAGTATCTCCTGCAGAGTTTTAATCCTTTCAATTACCACTTTTCATATTGTGGTCAATTTAATGTTATTGAAAAGGTTCTACAAAAGCAGGTATTTTTCCTTAGATTTGCTTAGATGTTAGACTATCATTGGCAAAGCAGGTACACCGCACACATTAATCTCTATGAAAAATCAAATGCAAAACAACAGAAAAAAAGGCACAGAAAGTATGAGACATACACACCTAAAATCTCAGTATGATCCATTCCCAATGAAGTAATGCCGCACACAGTAGGTTCTTTAATCTGTCCGTTCATAATCAGTTTCAAATTTATATACTGTATACTTAAGGAGTAAAAGAAAATATATAAATTTCCATAAACTAATTATTCTATTGGTTCAAGAAAATATATTCAACAATATCTTTTAACTTCAAAAGTCAAAAAGAAGTAAATCTGTGATACCATATGCCAAATGCATACCACGTTGGTTGAGTCTTCTGTTCCTCCAAGACCAACTTCTATAATGGCAGCATCAACCTGTGAACGGGAGCGAGTTTAATAAAATATTGGTTGTGAGGTAATAACTTGTCAAATGTAAGCAGATAATGAAATGTTAATAAAAACACATAAACAGCAGGTAAAACTTAAAAGTGAAACAAGTTGTATGAACTAGCAACACATTTTACTTAACTAAAAGGAGCAGCATATCAAAAGTAAAGGTTGAGCAAGGAGTCCTGAATCAAAACATAATAATTCATTCAGATGTAGACATACTAATAAGAACACAAAAATTTAATATAATCCATAAAGTTTAAAAAATTAGCAGTATTTAATCTTAGTGTATTCGAGAAAAATGAAAAAAGTTACGTACTTAAAAGAGTATGTAAGGTAACAACTAGTAATAATACAAGATGTTTTGTTTTTGGAAATAACATTTATTATAGAAGGAAACAATTCTCCAAAGTTTAAGAAAAGCACATTGCAGACAGATAAAGGTAAATATTACTAGCAATGACATACAATTTTTTTCAAATCTAGATAGCATGGAAAACTGGGTTGGCTTGGTGTCGCATCATTTAAAACAACATTAATCTTTCCCCTCCAAAATAAATACAGGTAAGAGAATGTTGTAAATATCATTGGCTGATGGACATTGAGAATAGACCTAGTTATGACAAGTTCGTCATATTGAATCTTCCACAATGGCTACTGCTTACAGCGATATATAGCAATTTATGCAAGAATAATACAGTATGAAACTCAGTGATAAACTGAAATACAAGCTTACCTGTTCAGATGTAAATATTTTGAAGGACAATATAGTAAGAAACTGAAACAGTGGGGGCATTGGAAGCTGCTCCGTTGCTTTTTCCTGCAAAATTAAGCTTTGGGAGTTGAGAATCTGTAAAGGGAATATGTTAATGTGAAATGTATAATATATTCACACAATATCATTTCTTATAAACGGTTTATAATGTCAATTTGAAAAGAAATCATCTGATTTGAGAACTACAGTACAGAAGTTATGATTTCTAATCAACATCGATGGGCAATATAAGAAAGAAATTTACTTTTAAAAAAAATTATATTGCCTGGGAAGCTTGATAAGAGTTGATATGTTATCTTTTCAATCAGTTTCCTCTCTTTTGATCCACAAGATTAAATGTGTTGAGGGGATAATAGAGCAGGTATCGGATAATTCCCCCGTCTATGGTACTAGGAAATAATAGAGCAAGGAAGGGAATGTCAGCAGTTGAGTAGGAACAGTTGTTAGAAATGAGTGAGGGATGTATGAAAAGCAGTAAAGCACATCTTGAAAATGCAACATAACAACCAGCTAGCACAGAAGACGGGGCAAGAAACTGATTTGTGTAGTGTGAATAGGATAAAAGGAGAAGAGAGGTGAAAATTCATGAGTGAGATTTGGGAAGGGAGGAAACAAGCTCCTTAAAAGTTTCCCAATCTTTTCTTTTCTGTTTTCTTTAATCCTTATGTTTTTACATAAGTCACTATTTTTGAGATGGCAACTTCTCAAAACCAGCCACAGAGAAGAGATTCTCGATGTTTTCTATCTTTAAAACTGAGTTCTGTTTCCCGTGTTCCTATGAGTATATTATCAGAAGGCCAAAAGAGAACGGCCACAAATACTCCAACCACAGCAAATTCTTCTATTAAATATCAAGTACAAAACAAAATGATATTGTATTAAAGCAATACTTGGATATCGACATATGTACATCTATTTAGAAAAGGAAAGTAAAAAATAATTTCTATAAAAATGTAAAATAATACCTCCAATTGGTTCCAACAATCCCAGAAACACTCTAAAAACTTATCTTCTGATATGTCAATCCTACAGGAGATATTAACAATTCAGAAGTTAAAGCTATACATTCAACAAAACTAGTGCAAAATGCATGAATTTCAACTAAACAGCTAGTTGCTCTGTTGTACATGAAAAATAAAGTTGGCACTACTTATTTTCAATATAATCATCCCTTATTTGCAAATCAACGTTCCATAATCTATCCCTGCTATTAAAATGGAAAACATTGTTTGATTTTACAATTAGGTGAAGGATTTATTAACAAGATGATGTAAAGTTGTACAAACCAAGAGTGCTCATACAGACTAGCCCTCCAAGGCTCCAACTCCTTGTGGGACCAAAAGGTATTCTATTCCTCGTAAAATTTTATGAACATTCATAAATGCAAATATATTACTAAATGTGAGTGAATGCAATTTTTCTGATGCAGTACCTATACAAATGTTAAAATCAACCATACAAGATGATTCCTTCAATTACTAACCCATCTATACGAAACCGTTCACGCACATCAATTAGGTGAGGGGATGTGAAAACTCCAGTGCGAAAGCCACATTCCCTTAATATTGCCTCACAGAATATGCATGTTGAACCCTAACAAGTAATCCATTAACTAAAAGGGAAAATGCAAGATAAACAATGTTGATCATAACAAATAATAGTCCGTTTTTGAATCTTGAAGCAAAATGCAAAACGATTTAACAACAATTGTGACAAATGACAAAATGATAAAGAGCACCTTTCCCTTTGTGCCTGCGACATGAATAATTTTGAGTCGATTCATATCCTCTTCCAAGCCCAGGATCTGTATAGAAAAAGTGCATTTATGTTCTAGTATTGAAAGAAATATGATAAGAATGAGATTATTGAAGGAAGATTTAGTGGTAAAAGTAGTTGAGCATATAACCTTGAGATACATAGACATCCTCTCTAATTTATTAGGAAGAGGTGGGTTCTGCCCACGCCTTTGGCGAGTAATAAGAGATGAAAGTTTCTCCATGGCAGCTTGATACGAAGATGATGGGAAGTTTAGTAGTTGTCCATCGCTTCCCCTTTCAAAGAGAAGTTCAGATGAGGTCTTATGTACAAATCCTAAAACATCAGAAATAAAATTTTGCAGTGTCACACAAATTATAAGTGAAGTGATAAAAATACTTGCAGCGATCTGCTTGGAACAAGAGCTTACTTGTTGCAATAACATTATCAAAACTAGTAGTCCTCGGATTCGTGTGTGAAACTCCAATCGTTCCAGTCTTTGGGTACATGCTGAAATTGGTTATCATAAGCATATCAACCCTGCAATGCACGCATAAGAGAAGGCGTGAATCTGAATTCTTGTTCATACAAATTTTTTTATGGTAATGTATGAACAAGTAAACACAAAATTATATTTTTCTCTATATGTGTATGTATGGCTTAATATTATTTTTTTGTAAAAAACCGAATCAACCGAACCAATCCAAACCGTATTAGTTTGATTTGATTTGGTTCGGATTTATTTTTAAAAGTCAACCAAATCAAACTGAACCATATGTTTTTTCTCTTGCGGTTCGGATGATTTTTTGCTTCAAAACCGCACCGCGAACACCCCTAGATGCAACCATCTTGTTGTTATGGCTTTTAAAGTGGCAATAGCTTCCAATTCCCTACTGCACCAAGGCAGTTGTTGTACCCTAAAATTTGCCCTCTCATTTTATTCAAGACATACTCATAGAGGTCCCCAAATGCTTGAGGTTGACTAAGAATTGACCAGACAAATTCTCCTCCTAAGCAATGGACTTCCAACTAGGGTTTCACTGTTCACAAAGAAGTTTGGGTTTCAAAGGCCTCAAGTGATTTCCATGATTCCTAATATTTCCTCAAGAATATCCATGTCAAGTTTCATGCCTTGCATCACAAGTTTGCTCAGTCAATGACTCAAATGTTTGAAAATCAACTATATTGGTCAAAAAGTCAATTGTGGTTAATATACAGTCAAACTTCAAGATTTTTGGTCAACCTCAATATTTTTAAGTGATATTCATCATTTGATCAATGGTTGATCATGATTCCTCAAGGAAAGTCCTCAGATCATCAAAAGTCAAGAATTGTCAAATTAGGGTTTCCTTAGGAGAAGTCAACTGAACTTTGACCAAGCATAACTTTCACATACTTCATCAACTTTTCCCCAACAAAAGTCCATTGTGAAGAAACTTCAATTCCCTACAACTTTTATTATGTCCTCAAGTTCAAAAAATGCATCATTGGAAAGATATGAGCCAATACATTACAGGTCTTTTTGAAAGTCAACAAAAAGGAATTTTTTGTCAAGGCAAGTTACATCAAGATAATTTCTCCAAATGCAAAAATGGTCAACATAGAGATTATAGGGGAAATCTTGAGATTTCTAAAAAGTCAAAGATCATCTCCAAAAGATAAAAATTGGGCAAGTTATGACTAGTACAAATTGGGAAAATTTGTGAAAATGCAAAAAAAGTCAACTTTGAGCAAAAATGCATTTTTTAAGTTCATAGACCTATTTTGTGGGATTCAAATATATTTATGACTTACTCAAGGACCTCTAAATTAACTATCACATTGTTTTTCATTTTTTCTCTATTTTATTCATATTTATTTTGTTTTTATTCAAACAAACACAAAATAAATTGCATAAAATAATAAATAAAAAGTATGGACACATGGGCTAATGATTTGGGTTGATATTGCACCTTAGAATTCATGCAAGGCATGAGAAAAAAATACAAGGTTCATTGCATCTCAATAAGGGCAAGTTTTTCACAATTTTAGAAGTATTTTAATATGTTTGATATTGTTTTGAAAGGGGGCCATTATGTGTGGATTCTTGCCATGTTTACTCACCATTTCATCCCTCTATAAATACAAAACAAAAGCATAAGCAAAAGACCACGAAATTTCACACCAAGCTCTCCAAAAAAAAATTCTCCAAATTCGAAGAAATTGTGAAAATTATATCTCGCATCTCCAGCGGTTTTCAAACCGATCCAGACCTTTCATTGTCCTCCTGAAGGCCATGAGTCAGAATCAATCATTATCCTTTGCAAATCAACCCCAGAGAACGCCCTAACATCGATTTCAGTTGGTAAGTTGGTAGGTTTCACGTTCTCAATATTTTCACATTTTAAATCAATGTAAACATGTTTATTTCATTTATATGCATTTTCTACAATTTTCTAACGTTTTACATGTAAGCATGGAGGCAGAAATAACAATCACGACCATGGTGCACCCCAAGGCGCGTTCCTCACTGGATCAGAACAAAGATCATGGACTCATCTGTTTTAGGCCCATTGTTCTCATTCCTCACACCCCATCTACTTACTTGTTCTCAGCAGACCCATTTTCATTTCTTTTTTGTGTTTTAATTAACTACTTTCTTTTTTAATCAATCTCATTTTAATAAATAAAAAATCACAAAAACATTAGACTTAGGTTTTTATTAATTAAATTAATTTTAATTAATTACTTTAATCCTTTTTTAATTAATTAATTAATTAGAATTGGGGTTTTATAATTAATTTATTTTCATAAATCAAATTCAAATTATTATTAACACAAAATTCTTTTTTCTCATAAAAAGACCAAAAATATTTTTTCTTGCTTAGAATTTTAGTTTTTTTATTTTGTCCTTTAATTTCTTTTTAATTATTCCTTTGCTATTTAAATTCTAGAAAACAAATGTATAAGTCGCACGGGTAATTTTGTAATAATTGTAATTTACATTTTCTCGCATTTTTTCTATTATGTAACTGCTTATGGGATATAATAGTTGTAGGTCTTTACTTTTTCGCACTTATAGTTATGCATATTATATATATATATATATATATATATATATATATATATATATATATATATATATATATATATATATATATATATATATATATATATATATATATATATATATATATATATATATATATATATATATATATATATATATATATATATATATATATATATATATATATATATATATATATATATATATATATATATATATATATATATATATATATATATATATATATATATATATATATATATATATATATATATATATATATATATAACTGTGTAGTAACTAGGACGTGTATGACAAGATCTAAAAACAAAATATTAGAAAACATTAACATCAAAGATAAACAATAACTGAAGCACAAAACACTTCGCACACGAGCACCTCTCATGTACCTCCACTTGTTGCCTTCGGAAAACAACAATGATGTCCCTCGAAAGTGGGGACGCTTTAGCAAAGACCCTCGAATCAAAAGATCATAGTCCCTCGATGACCCTTCGGTGTTGCCTTTCGGTAAAATGATTTAGTCCCTTAAGAGAAATTGCTAAAACGTCCTTACTAGTTGCCTTCAATGACTGTACGATGACTCGCGCATGTCCCTCAAAATATCCAAGATGGGGCTACCTACTCACTAATAGTAGGATAATTGTCTAAAGAAAAAGAGGAAAAGAACAAACCTTTTTGAGCAGGTAGATAGTTCTTAGATGCTTGCTCAAAACAAAACATTTTCCACACCTACACTCCTTTCCAAAACAACCAAGTCAGTTCTCCCACCGTGTTACAGCGATGAACGACCAATGTTCCTGAACTCTTTTGTCCCCAAGCAGAAGTCAAACATTCCTAGCGGAGTATCCTCAAACAGAAAGCAGGAATCCCTAATAGAGACGTTCTAAACAAAATTAAAGATTCATATTCTTCATCCTCAGCGGAAGTCAGGGATTTATTTTCTCCAGCCAAGATGTTATATGAAGTTACCGATACACTTCAACGATGTATTGCATCCATACATCATTTCAAGTATCATGGCATATGCATACGAAACGCATATAGCAGACTCTCATTTACTTTGAGAACATCATTACGCAATGTATTACATACATCATGACATTGCACGAAACTAACTTTGTTTCTTTCAGGTTAGTTCACAAACAGATGAATATCATCAATAATTATCAAAGAGGTCGCAGATTAATTCCCAAAACAAGATGGGGCAACTATCCATTCAACCAGGCGGTATAAATTCCCAAAACATGATGGATTTACCAACAAAAAGCAGGTCAAAGTTTAAATTCCCGAAACAAGACGACGCAACTATCTAGATGACCAGGTCCAAGATTAATTCCCGAAATAAGATGGGGCAACTATCTGTACGACCATGTGGTATGAATTCCCGAAATAGGACAGGTTCACCAACAGAAAGCAGGTCAAAGATTAATTCCTGAAATAGAACGGGGAAACTATCTATATGACCAGGCAAAGATTAACTCTCGAAACACGGACGAGGAAACTATCTTTATAACTAGGAAAAGATTAACTCTCAAAACAAGACGAGGAAACTATCAACATGACCAGGTGGTATGAATTCCCAGAACAGGACGAATTTACCAACAGAAACAGATTGTGGATCAATTCCCAAAACAGGACAGGGCGACTATCTACATGACAAGCATTTACCTCAGAGACTGAATTCTGACAAGCATTTCCCGCAGATACTAAATCTGACAAGCAGCTACTTAAGCACCTTCTCTAGAGGTTCATTCTAGAAAGTATTCCTCATTTAATGGTCGAGCATAGACTCATCATGATACTCTTATCAACAACTATTTTGATGGAATCTATAAGCCCATCTCCAACAACATTCTGTCACCTCTCCAAATGGCATATTTAAGCCCATTCAAGCAATATTATCAACCAACAACGTTACTTCCTGCACATACGAGTGCAAATTTCTGGGCACTTAAGTTCCACCTTCAGATCATGAATGGCGGATATGCCAATCTAACTCTTTAGGTTTAAGAAGATTGAATTGGGGCAACTATTGTACCCCTAAATTTTCCCTCCTATTTTCTTCAAGACATTCTCCTAGGGTTCTCAAATGCTTAAGGTTGCTCAAGAATTGATCAGATAAATTCTCCTCCTAAGCAATGGACTTATAACTAGGGTTTCATTTTTCTCAAGGAAGTTGGGTTTATAAGGCCTCAAGTGGTTTCCATGATTTCTTATAGGTCTCCAAGAATTCTCATCCCAAGTTTCATGCCTTGCATCACAAGTTTGCTCAATCAATTACTCATATGACTAAAAATCAACTATATTGAACAAAAAGTCAATTATGGTCAACATACAGTCAAACTTCAAGATTTTTGGTCAACATCAACATTTTGAAGTCATATTCATCATTTGATCAAGGGTTGATCATGATTCATCAAGAAAAACTCTCAAATCATCAAAAGTCAAAAGTTACCAAATTAGGGTTTTCTTAAGGAGAAGTCAATTGAACTTTGACCAAGCATAACTTTTACATGC